CTTTATATATCTTGAAAAACTAAGCAACGACCATCTCAATTAAACATATGCCCCCCAAGCTTACTACAAAAAATGGTTTTAGGACATTGTTTGCAATGAGTTTACGATGATCTAGATTCCCAAATTTAACGACTTGTAGATGTTGAAAAGAATATCATTTGGATCCGAGTTACAGCCTCATGACGCTCACTGCAAAAAAAGGTTACAAAATGTTTATGACCTAGATTCCTAAATTTACCATCTTATAAATCATGAAAATATGATTAACCTAAAAACTGGTCTTGGTCCAATTTACGATATTCTGAACTTCACTATAAAGTCGTTTGTCGAACGTTTTCAAACTGGTTACGATGATCTAGACTCTCAAACTTTATCAGCTTGTTCGACCTATTGAAGGTCACCACGAAAACGGTATCCTAAATTGTTATGAAATTATTTACAAGTTCGTGATCATTTTTGTATTGAACTTTGAAAAGTTGTAATTCTTGATATGTAATTCGGATCGACACAATAATCGGATTTATTTATTTTATAATTTGTTATCCCTTTTTCTTAGTAAATTTGAAGGGTCATAACTTTTAATTTATAAGTTGGATCAACATGATGTTTTTTACATTATTTTAATTTCTAAAATTAATAAACCGGTAAAATTTAAAAATCTTAATCATTAAAACCAATTGATAAAATAGTCACAACTAAATAAGAGTTAAAAGTCAGTATGATTGTATGTTTTGGGAAGAAAAAAGATAAATAATAAATTTAAAAGAAATACAATCCCGACGTATATTCGAGGAAGTGACATAATATCATATTATGATGCTACTAATTAAATACATTTTGCTTAAAAGAAGTTGATAAATATCTATATTATTTTATAAAACATTTGACAAAATCTTTTAAAAACAATTTTTTATGTATTAAGTATTGTTTATTGATGCATATTACTTAAAATTCAAGACTACAAGTAAATTGTGCGGAAGTACAACTTATTAAAGCTCTATATTTGAATTCGTTTAACTAACTACAGACAAACATAATCAAATAGAGGATAAACATCTCATTTTAAAATATAAAAAACTAAAATATGATTAGGATAATTATTGAGTTCAAACAAAATAATTAATTATTATATTTATAAAAAAATTATATTATGAAACCAAATATAAATTACTTCGTTATCTATATTATATTATAAAACATTTGACAAAAACTCTTAAAAACTATTTTTCATGCACGAAGTATTGTTTATTGATTCATAT